TCCCCTCAGTAGAGCAAAGATTGCTTCTCTGGGTTGACCGTTTTGCAGATTGTGCTTTCTGTAAGGATCGCCTCTCCTTCCAATTTAAGAAAGTACGAACTCTTGAAACGTGGTTGTTCAAAAGGATTCTTTTATTAAGCAGAAGTGACAACCATCCAGCTAAAGCACAATCTGAATGCCCTTAGGCAAAGCAGTAGGATTAAAGTGGTAGAGACCCCTCCCTTTAAGTCAGAATGCAGATTTTAGCCAATACACAAGTGTGAAGATGTTTTCTTTACTATTTCTTTGAGAACCCGAATAAACATGCATTCCCACCACTACCCTTTAAAGTGAGACAACCCACAGGGCTATTATATAAGTTCCTGCAAGTAAAGGGAATCTCAGGCTTCCTTGGCTCCAGGATATAGGTTGTAAAATATCTGATGACACAGGCCACGCTAGTAAATTGAATCCAAGTCCCCCCTTCCTCCACTTGAATGGCAGTGTCACTTTTAGGGATCTGACAGATGGAGGGAAAGAGAAAGAGAGAGAAAGACAGAGAGGGGGGAAAGAGAGAGAGAGGGAGGGAAAGAGAAAGAGAGAGGGGGAAAGAGAGGGGAGGGAAAGAGAAATGATATTACAAAAAATGTTATTGTTGCTAAGCGTAATATTTCAAAAGCAGAAAAAAATGAAGGTGCATAAAAGTGCATTTATCACATTTTTCTTAGAACAAGTAGCTGGACTCTGCGTTGTTTATCATTATTTTAGGTAGTAAAATTCAGGTTAAATTGCCATTTTGGCACTTTGCAATAAATAAATGGGTTTTGGGTTGCAGTTTGGGCACTTGGTCTCTAAAAGGTTTTCCATCACTGCCCTATAACATTCCAGACAAGTGGTTGTCCAGTCTCTTCTTAAAAATCTCCAGTGATGAAGTACCCACAGCTTCTGAAGGTAAACTGTTCCACTGGTGTAAATGTTCACACTGTTAGGAAGTTTCTCCTTAATTCCAGGTTGCTTCTCTCCTTGATTAGTTTCCAGCCATTGTTTCTTCTCTTGCCCACTGGTGCTTTGGAAAATAAGTTGACTGCCTGTTTCTTATAGGTTTGTGCCACTTTAGCTAGCATTTTCTTGACATTCTCCCAGGTTGCTTTCAGTGTTGCCATCCAATTGGTCAAGCTGACTGAGGAGCGGGGCTCCCTTGGGTACTCAGGCATTGGGACAAAGTCCATGCCGCTTGCTACCTTGAATGGGGTTAGCCCCGTGCTACTGTGAACAGCATTATTATACACGACCTCAGCGAAAGACAGGAGGTCCACCCAATTGCACTGCTGAGAGTTCACCTAGCACCTCAGGTACTGCTCTACCATGGCATTCACCCTCTCTGCCCCCACATTGGTGCTCAGATGAAAGGCCGAGCTAAGGCCCTGGATGACCCAATAGACCGTAGGAACTCCCCAGGGGCTTTGGGAACCTGGCTTGTTTCCAGTCCAGCCTCCACTCCACTCTTCCCAGCTCACTCAGGGGCTTCCCCTTTTTCCAGGCATTGGGGTGGGGGAACTCAACCTCAGCTGCTTTAGGGATTAACTCCCACCAATACTCATCTCTTCTTGCTTCTTGCCGCTGGAGCAGGCTTCTCAGCTTTGATGTCTGAGGGAGCCTGCACTCTGTCTGCAATCAGGCTCTCTTCAGATAGCCCGTCTTCGGCCATGGTTGTCTGATTTTCCCTTCCGGCACCCCAGATATCGGAGAATGATTGGAGAGTTCAAGATTCAGGAAACCTGATGAGCTTGATAGATTTTAAAAGTAGTTCTAACTGTCTGTGAAGTTTCTGAAAGATGCCCTAATTAATTCATGAGCCACAAGCCAAACTTCAAAAGAAATACAGTCATTTATTAGGAGTACCATTTCGGCAATATTCGGATGCAGTTAGAATTAATCCCATGTAGATTTACGTTCCCCTATGACCCTGTCGCTCCCCTCCTCCCTGGCCATGTCATAAATCACATTCTCCAATTAACCATTTTGACTGGCTGTGAAACCCAAAACTCTCCTACTGATTGCAGTAAGAAAGCATCTGTGGAATGTAGTTTCAGTTAGGAAAATCAATCAGCTCCATCAGTTCTCCCTCCCTCCTGCTCATGGCAGCTTGAAAGCTTTGCAAGTTGACATTATCATCTTAGTGGCTCTCCTTTGGTCTTTTTCCAAAGTCTCAACATCTTTTTTGTAATGTGGTGACCAAAACTGGATGTAGTATTCCAGCTGTGGTCTTACTAAGGTTTTATAAAGTGCTACTAATACTTCACATGATTTTGATTCTATGCCTCTGGTTATATAATCAAGGATTGTATTAGTATTAGAATTTGAAAATTGAAAAAGATTTTAAAATTTTAAAAAAGAATCTAAAATTGAAAAAAGAAAGTTGAAAGTTGAAAAAAGTTTTTAAAACTAAAAAAAGAATTTAAAAATTTTAAAAAATGAAAATTTAAAAAAAGTTTTTTTAAAAAAAGTTCAGAGATTTTAAAAATTTACAAAAGTTATTGGTCCTTTATGACATGATATGCATTTGTTTTATCTGGAAATTAAAGTAATGCTATTTTAGTAAGTGAGTTCTAGCCAACTTGTTTTTCCACTGCTCACATTCCAACTGCAGGAAAAGTGACTACTCTTAAACACAAACAGAAAGATCATTAAACATATGACCTGTGTTCATATACGGTGTCCAGAGATGGAAAAGAGTGCACATACAGACTGGATACACTTAATTTCATGTGAAGCAAATTGAAAGTGCTCTTTATAGTCTTCTCCAAGTAGGTCATTTTAGCTAGCTTTGATAACAGGGAATCCTTTTGTGGCCTAATTCTTAGTTTTTTAAATTTGCATTGTGTCAGTTTGCCACATCAAAAGATGCCACATCAAAAAATAATTTAGAACTGTTCAATCTGGGAGGGATTTACCTCATTTTCAGCAATGTTTCTAGCTAATACTTCTCTTAATGTACATATGATCAAAATCTGCAGTTCAGACATTAGATGCTCTTTTAAAACCAGCTTAAAGGAGGGAATCTAGCTATGGCTTTTGTGAGAAAACTGGTTAAGTTGGGTTTCCTTTTGCTATATAGCTGAATCCAGGGGTGAAATGCTCCCGGTTCGGACCAGCTCGGGCAAGTAGGTAGCAATGGCGGCGGGCAGTTCGGAGAACCGGTAGCAAAAATCCCTGCCCCCGCCCCCCATGCCCAGCTGAGCCGCGTAATCATCAGAGCCTTTTTTTTCTTTTAAATGGCTCTGACCAACCAAGCTCTGAGGATCCCAGCTGAGTTGCCTGCTAATCAGGCAACTCAGCTTGGATCGCCAGAGCTATGTAAAAGAAAAAAAACTTTTTCCTTTTAAATGGCTCTGATGATCCCTCCCCCTCCCCCCCTCAGTTTGCTTACCTTAGCTACTGGTCGCAACGCCTTGCTGTAATCCCTGCAATCAATTGCATCAGCAAGCAACTGAATCTCCCTGCCTGCAATCTAGCAGGCAGAGAGTTGTGGACTTCAACTCCCAGCAAAGCTGGCTGAGGAATTCTGGGAGTTGAAGTCTACAAGTCTTAAAGTTGCCAAGATTGGAGACCCCTGTTCTATTGGGTAAGTTTTTTTCCCCTTTGGGAGCTTTAAAAAAATAGTTAATTGGGGGTTTTTTTAGTTGTTCTTTTTTTAGACCTAGCCATTTAAAGTTTAGGAAGTTTTAAATTTAGCTGCTTTTATATAAAAATAAAAATAAATTAAAATAAAATAATAGAGTGTTTCACTCTAACTACACAAACACACAAAATCTCACAAAGCTGTATGTGGAATTTTGTGTGTGTAAAGTGTGAAAGTTGGTTTTTTGGGCTTTTTGTGGCTGTGTGAGGTTCCTGCTTGTTGCAGGAGCCATTTTTGGGTCTAGCACAGCTGCTTTTATATTGTGGGTGAGCCGGTTGTGTTGTGTTGTGTTTTGTAGGTTAAAAAAGGGCAAAGAAGTGACATTGACTTGGCCACACCCACCTTACCAACAAGCCACGCCCTCCCAGTCACCTTACCACCAAGCCCTGCCCACTAATTAAGCCACGCCCACAGAACCGGTAGCAAAAAAATTTAGATTTCACCCCTGGCTGAATCTATATTAAGCTATCTATATGGCAAGAGCTGCAGTGGCACAGTGGTTAGAATGCAGTACTGCAGGCTATTTCTGCTGACTGCCAGCTGCCTGCAATTTGGCAGTTCAAATCTCACCAGGCTTAAGGTTGACTCAGCCTTCCATCCTTCCGAGGTTGGTAAAATGAGGACCCAGATTGTTTGGGGCAGTATGCTGACTCTGTAAATTGCTTAGAGAGGGCTGTAAAAGCACTGTGAAGTGGTATTTAAGTCTAAGTGCTATTGCTATATACAGTAAACAGTAGATCAAAACCTGGCTGCATTTTAAAAATGAATGACAATTTTGCAAGAGAAGACCTTTGAGAGAAGAATTTTGCAAGTGGAACCTATTTTTATTGAGAATGAATGTCAGGTTTTCTGCCTTGAAAATTAGAGCAGTGGAAACCAATGTCAAGCCATGGCCTCAAACTGGCCCTCATGCTGCCCTTCAAAGAAATCCACATCCCAGAAATGGACAAATGGACATATTTCAAGAACCAAGGCTTTATTGCCCCTTTCCTATGCCCTGGTCAAAAGTTGGGCAATGTTTGTGATATGAAATTGGCATTATCTGAATAAAAGAGAATATTTAATCCTTCACTTGCAGCTGTTAGACTATTGAAATGCAAGCAAACTAATAATATTTACATACCAAAGTATTTGCAGAACCATTAATCCCTTAGTAATTAAAACAAATTTACATATACTTAGAAACATGGGAATTTACATACACAGATGTATGGAAACTCAATGTATGTTCAATGTTCCTTGCTCCTGAATTGTAAAGCACTTCCTCTTATATTCTATTAACATAGCAGTCTGAACTGCTCCAACTCTGTTGGTTTTTAAGAGGGAGCTAACGCTTCTCTATTTTCTGGACCTAAGTTCCTATATACACAAACGGGAGCAAGCAGTTGCCTGTTTAATTCTCCTTGGTGGAATAGAAGCAAAGACAAAGATATGACTCAATAGCCTTTGAAGGTAAGGCTATCAGATCTGGATTGCAAGGATCTAATTAACCACCACATGGCAGCAAAGAGATGTATATATATGTGTGTGTGTGTGTGTGTGTGTGTGTGTGTGTGTGTGTAGGTAGGTAGGTAGGTAGGTAGGTAGGTAGGTTTTCTGAGGTTTTCACAGGTGTTTGTATGTAGGTCTTTGGTTATTCGGGTTTTCTCCCACGTAAAATTGGAATTCCAATTTTATGTGAGAGAAAACCCAAATAACCAAAGACCTACATATTGTAGCCCTAACTGAGAGAGCTGTGGGAAGAAAAGAAAGTGCATAGGAGCTTGGTAGAGTGGCTGTTCCACCAAGGAGGTAGGCTGAAAACAGGGTGATTTAAAAGGTCTTGCTCTTTTAAACTACCATTAGTTACCTTTTGCAAACTTTATGCACAGAATCTTTTAAAGCACCAGGTTAATGTCTGTCAGAGGTAGGGGAGAGGGAAGGTTAAAAGCTGACACAAATATTAAGAATATAATTATAACTTTTAAAGTTGCATTTAGTAATGGGATTGTGAGTCCACAAAGAATCTGGAAATCAAAAAAATCTCTTTCCCCTCAAGAAATTAAATACAATATATTTTCACATCAAAAATGATGTATCAGAAAGTAAGCAGCATAAAAAATAACCTTAGAAAAGAATAGTTGCTGAATTGTAACTGATTCAGGGTGCAAATGACAAAAATATTCTTTCATTTTACAACTTAGCTGCACAATCCATGCAAAACTTCCTATGTCAGTCTTGGACAATATTTGGAGTTGAAGATTTCCTGTTGGTCTTGCCAATCAGTATATGGCCTTGAAGCAATCCAGCAGGAGAAAAAAAAATCATATTTTCTTTAAATCCATGCAAATGGGAAGTCCATAATAGTTCCAGTTCAGCTGTTCCATGTGCTGCTCAGAAGACCCCTATGAATAGCTTGATGAAAGTGCTTACTAACTGTTTTTTTAAAGCATATATAAGCCAAAAAAGGTTTTTGACTCTTCAGAATTTACCAGTGTGGGCTCAGAGACACTCACATACACACTGTCCTGCCTGGAAAGATTGAATAAGGCCCCCAAATAGCTACTTTTGCCCCACATGTGCATTGTCACACAATAGTTCATCTTTCTGTTCTCCATCAGGACTTGGTTGTCAGGATAAGATGGATTTCTCTTGAAAACCATGTGGTCAAGTGGCTGGGAAGTGCAGGTCTGGCCTCGGAAGAACACTTTGGAGTAAATAAAGTAGAGCCCAGGTTCATCAATCACTAGACCCCTGTTCTTGTATTGGACCCCAGAGATGAAGGCATGTCCATGGGTAGTCTCCCACTCCAGGGAATGAGATTGCTGAATTGCTTTGCCTAGAGAAACATGAAATATGATGAAAATGGGAGTGATTTCATGCAATCAGTAGCATTTGCTCTGGGACCCCATTCCCCTATCAGCCTAGGTGCCAAAACATTTGCATGTTTCTTCCATTCTTCAGGTCAAATGAATCTTGCAATTCCAGCCAACTGGCTAGAATTTCACAGTTACTCCCAAGTGGATCCTTCTCCTAGCTGCTTTGTTTCTTGTTTCAGATGTCTCAAAACTCACTCCTGGTTATTATGCTTAACTCTTGTTATAAGCATATTACCTGCATCTCACAGCATCCACAGCAACTTGCACTAGTTTTGGCTTCAGTTGAAATGCTCCAAATAGCAATCCACTGCATACTAGGTTATTGCCATGCAATGATTCCTTAGATCATGGGTGTCAAACTCACCCCATCACGTTGCCATCACGTGATGTTTCATGACATTTTTCCCATTTGCGGGTGGGCGTGGCCTGTGCATTATGCATTTGGCCCATGGGCTACCAGTTTGACACCCTGCGCTTAGACACTATTCAGAAAGGAATCCTTTTGCTTACCCATATTTGGTAGAATCTTCATATGTAGAGTGGGTCACTTATTGCAACATTCAGCTGACCCCAGTAAAGATTCATATACAGGCCATTTGTGGGATGGGAACAGGATGGGGAAGAAAATATAGTGTTAACACACTCAAATTGCCTTTCTTCAATAGAGTACAAAGGCTGATCTTCTGCTTGGGGAGTAAAGTGTCCATATAGTTTTGATAGCTCTTAGCACTAGCAATAGCACTTAGACTTATATACCGTTTCACAGTGCTTTTTACTTTCTAGGACAACTTATTACAAGTTTTTTTAAAAAAGGATGTGGAATGTTAAAAGGCAACAAAAAGGATGTGGAATGTTAAAAGGCAACAAAAATAGCTTGTTCTTCTATTGGTTGGCATGGCTCATCCTACTTATAAACTAGTACTACCCCATGTGCAAGTTAATCTTGTCAAATGCTATCTGCAATATGAAGAATAGAATACAGAATAATAGAGTTGAAAGGGACCCTGGAGGTCTTTTAGTCCAACCCCCTGCTTGACCAGGAGACCCTACACTATTCTGGACAAATGACTGTCCAATCTCTTTTTTAAAATCTCCAGTGATGAACCACCCATAAGTTCTGGAAGCAAGCCATTCCAATGATTTATTGTTCTCACTGTCAGGACATTTCTCCTTAATTCTAGGTTGGATCACTTTTGTCCTGCCCTCAGGTGTTTGGAGAATAGAGAATAGAATATGTTCTCTATGTAAAGGTAAAGGTTTTCTTGTCAGCTGTACCTGATTCTAGGGCACATTGCTCATATCCGTTTCTTGGCCAAGAAAGCCAGTATTGTCTGAAGACATTTTCTGTGGTCATGTGGCCAGCAGGGCTATATGCCAAAGGCACATGGAATGCTGTTACCTTCCCACTGAAGTGGTATTTATTAATCTACTTGCATTTGCATGTTTTCAAACTGCTAGGTGGATAGGAGCTGGGACAAGTAATGGGAGCTCACCCCATTGCATGGAAGCTGAGGTCTCGAACCTGGGCTGTCAGCTCTGCAGCTGACAAGCTCCAAGTCTTTAACCACTGAGTCATTGCATCCCCGTTCTCTATGACAGCCCCTCAAGTAATGAATAACAGAATAACAGAGTTGGCAGGGACATTAGAGGTTTTCTAGTCCAAGCCTCTGCTCAAGCTGTCCAGTCTCTTCTTAAAAGTCTCTAGTGATGGAACATCCACAACTTCTGAAGGCAACCCATTCCGCTGGTTAATTGTTCTCACTGTTAGGAAATTTCTCCTAGGTTACTTCTCTTCTTGATTAGTTTCCATCCATTGCTTCTTGTGTTGCCTTCTGGTACTTTGGAAAACAGGTTGACCCAGGGATGAAATGCTATTGGTTCAGACCGGTTCACCTGAACCGGTAGTAAAAATGCTACTGGTTCGCTCAAACAGGTAGTAAAAGAATTCTTTAAAAGTTCCAATGATCACGCAGCACATCTGATTGTCAGAACTTTTTTTTTTACTTTTTTAAAGTATTTTTTTATTACCAGTTCTGGTGAACAGGTAGTAAAAAAATGCTTTTAAAAAGTTAAAAAAAGGTTCCGACTATCAGCTGCGACAATCAGCTGGGCCACGTGATTGTCAGAACATTTTTTAATTTTTTTTAAAGAATTTTTTTACTACCTATTGCCCAAACTGGTATTTTTGTGTAAAGTGTGTTAGATTGTTTTTGAGCTCTCTGTGACTCTGTGAAGTTCCTGCTTGTTGCAGGGGCCATTTTGTGTGAAGTCCAGCTGCTTTTGCATTGTATGTGAGTCAGTTGTGTAGCTTTTGTGTTATTTATGTGTATAGTGTGATAGTTGATTTTCCCGGTCACATGACCACCAAGCCACACCCACCTGGTCACATGACCACCAAGCCACGCCCACAGAACCGGTAGGGAAAATTTTTAAATTTCACCACTGTGTTGACCCCCTCTTTTTGTAGCAGCCTCTCAAATACTGGAAGACTTTCATGTCACCCCAGTCCTTCTCTTTGTTAGACTGGAAAAGCATAGTTCCCGCAACCATTCATCGTTCAGTTTAACCTCTAGTCCCCCAATTATCATTATTGATCTTCTATGCACTCTTTCTAGAATCTCAAATTTGTTTTTGTATTGTGACCAAAAGTGGATGCAGTATTCCAAGTGTGGTCAAGATTAGAATGTTAGGCAACATCCTGCTCCTCTGAGGTGGAAGCTTCTCACTTTCCTTATCAAACATGCAGAGGATCTTTGGTTGCAGATTTAAAAAATCCATACTTTTCTCAAATCTGTTCCCAGGAAAACTCCTCCGAGTTTGGAATCGCTCCTTGGTGAGTTATATTGTTAAAAATGGAAAATGACACTATTTATGCTGTACAATGTTGAAAGGTATTTGCCTCTTGAGCTTTGCTGACCTGATGGCCAAGCTAACAATTTGACAACAAGCCAAGGGCAAGATTTCCTACCCATAAAGGGAACAAAGCCCTCTGGGGTAAGGTGGTAGAGCAGGGAAAGAGAATTAGATGCATCAGCAATTTGTGTTTTTGATGCCTACCTGTTAAATGTGCACTCCTCTTGACTTTCTTTTCTGCTGTTCTGTTCAGAACTCCTACATTGCAGCAGAAGAGAAAAAAAGTAGTTCATAACTCTTCGGTGCCATCAGGAGGGTGATTCAGAATATGAACAAAGGGAAACCTCAAGATGGAACTTAATTGGATTCTGTCCAGTGGTGAAATCCTGCTGGTTCTGTCCAGCTCGCGCGAGCAGGTAGCACTCGCGGCGCATGGTTTGGCAAACCGGTAATGGCAGCAGCGTGAGGCTCCACCTACCCACTCAGATGTCATTACTTCCTGCTTTTTAATCCTCTGCGCATGCGCAGAGGGTCCAAAATAGGGCGTGATGATACTGTGCACATGAGCGGAGCGAATGGGTACACACGGCACATGCACTTTCGAACTGGTAGGGAAGGTAAATAAATTTCACCCCGATTCTGTCTCATCATAAAGCAGTCTCCTAAAGAAGCCAAAACTTGATTTCCCAAAGAAGCATCACTGATTGCCTCAAATAACTTGATATATTGTATGAGGAAATCTGGACTGGTCTAGACTAGGAAATGTTATGCATTCCAGTAAAATTAAATTGGCATGTTCTGCCAAAACCAACTTCATAACAGCACAAATGCCAGTGAAAAATATTTACTAACAAGTCATCCTCTAGTTTTGAAAATGTGTACATTTATATTTTTAAGGTATCATAAATAGAGAAGGTTGCATGACATTAGAGAATGACAAATACATGTGAATTTTTAAAAAATCATCCCAGATTTTCAGATTCATATCTGAAATATCTGAAAATCTGTGATATTAGTATAGATGATTTTTACAGAAACCTGGTCCAGATGGATGAGTAACAAAGGCTTTCATTTAGAACAAAAGAAACAAATTTTTCAAAGAAAATGCTGCAAATGTTAATCATTGCCTGGGCCAAAAGAAATGAAGGATTATGTATTAAGGCTTTAAGTTGTTTTATATAAATTCAGAGTGGTATTTTTTATCTTTACTTAGAAGGATTTTTGATGTATTAAGGAGCATGGAACAGGAGCCATTCTCATGAGGATAACAGTACCCAGTATGGCAGAAAGAGACTGTGTGGTTTAAGAGCAGTTGCTACCAAGGACAAGTATAGCAGGAGTCAAGAACATCAACAACGTAATAAAATGCTATAGATATTAAATGAGTGAGTGAGTGAATTAATGAATAAAATCATTTTTTAAAAAACATGATGGATATAACAGAGCAACTGAAACCTTCCTCTTTTAAATATGCAAAAGTTATAGAAAGGAGTGGGGCTTGGATTACTTCTGCCAATTTAATGATTCCCTCCACAGATGTCCCTGATTCTTATTGCTGAATTTGTGGAACTAAGAAAGGGATTTTATATTAAAATTTGGCTCTGAAAATTAGGCAACAGGTAGTCTTTTTTCCTTTCACACAGGAGTTTGCATGAAGTGGAAAAGCCCTGTTCTGTACTGTAGTCCTTTATAAATCTGTTTCTTAAGGTCTTTGGATTTGTCTTCTTGTCTTATTCTCCATTTTGCCTATACTCCAAGCCTGCATCAGTTATTTGTTTCCTAACCAAGACTCATTCCATTATTTCAAGGAAATAATGGGAGGATAATAAAATGTGCAAAGCTATGGAGTGAAATTCAGGTATAATATTACCAGGAAACACAATCTTTGAATAGGAAACACAATTTTTGCTTTGTACCTTCCCAATCTTCACAGGACTAGGAGTTCTCACCTTTCAGCATATCAGGAGATGGAGGGACACAGCCAGAGCTGGAAAACTGTGAAAGTAAGAAACATACAGGTATATTTGGAAAGAAAAACTACCCCACAAAGTTTACATAGCTAGGTAAACTTCTATAACTCCAGACCTATTCTCCCAATTTGAGAAGATTATGTATTTTCCCCCTACAAATTGAGATGTTACCTCTTGAAGTTCCTTTTGCAGGTGGAAGATCTGAAACATTGCCAGCCCGATCCCCATGATGGCAAGTAGAATCAGCAAAAATACCACCAGGAAACAAAGGCGTGTACCATCTCTGTGATTCTGTCTATGCCTTTTCCTCTCTGTCACAGGCAATGGTAAACAAATGTCTTGATCTGCCACAATTCCACTGGAATGATACAGTACCATTTGAGGAGCACAGTCTGAGCTAGGAAGACCACTGTTGTTTGTCCAGAAGATCTGGGGATAACCACAATACTGATTCTGTTGCATGACTGAAAGATGCATACATTGAGTCTTTGGATTCCTCCCTCACTGCTGCTGAGATAATCTTAGACCGTGTCATCAAAATGCTCTCTTCCTGCACTGTATTTCCACTCAGCAACTGCACTCAACTGCACTCAAAGCTGAAAAACCTTGGGGTTGACTGCTGAAAACCTCACACAGCTTCCGCTCACTGTTGTGATGCTAGATAATTGCATGCACAAAGAGGTGCTTTGAAGTTGCCCAAAAACCACCCTCAAGTGGTATTATCCCTAAAATAAAATTAATATAATTTTTAAAAATACCCATTTGGGGGGGGGGACAAAAACAAAACAAAGCAACCTCTGGCCTCTACGACATCCCCCCTCCAAACAAAACAACCCTTTCCAACCCTGTGCATCTGGTCCAACCAACTTTTCATAACTCTACTTACTGTGAGCCTTCCAAGAATTATGTGGAGTAAGACTAGAGTAAGGTTGTCAATTGTAGAGAGACTTGTAACATAAAGGACCAGAAAGAGCTTTACATGCAGCTTAATTTTAACCTTAATTCTACATATACCAGAAATTCAGTACAGTACCCAACAGTGGTGGGTGTATTTTAAGTTTCACTTGAGATTTCCATTGCATTAAAAGTGGGCTAGTTTTTTCAGGCAGTTGTATGAACTATTTAACTGAATTACTTTTGTTCATAGATGTTGGATGATAATCAAAAGGAAATTAGATGTTAAAAGCCTGCCACAACATTCTTTATGGAAACATGAATGGGTAAGTGGGCAAGACACATGGGCTCCTAGGGCTCTGATGATATGTGATGACAGAATAGTTCCTGGGTCCTGGGGCAGTATCACCTTGATTGTTAGCTGCATAAATAACAAGCTGGTGAAGAAGACTCATTAATCTACTTTTGTGCAGTTTCAGTGGATTCATACTAGCTACAACAAGTGGTGGGTGTATTTTAAGTTTTCACTTGAGATTTCCATTGCATTAAAAGTGGGCTAGTTTTTTCAGGTGCATTCATTGGATGGAAAAAGCCATGTTTTTAGACAGAATACAGTGACTATAATCAACAGGCTACACATCTTGTTGACCTAATAATTGTTTACTCAGTTTGGTTAGATTTGTGTGATGCATTGTAAGTAACTGCAGGGGATTGGTAGACAACACGCTAAGCTAAAATGAGATTGGCTACACCAATCTCAAGTGGTTCAGTGTATCATCACAAAGACAGCCAATGTTGTCATTAGTTTGAAACAGGGGTGAAATGCTCCGGGTTCGGACCAGATCGCCCGATCTGGTAGTGATGGCAGCAGGTGGTTCAGATAACCCAGTGTTTCCCAAACTTGACCCTTTGAAGATGTATGGACTTCAACTCCCAGAATTCCTCAACCAGGCATACTGGTTGGGGAATTCTGGGAATTGAAGTCCATGCATCTTAAAATAGCCAAGTTTGGGAAACACTGAGATAACCAGTAGCAAAAACCCCTGCCCTTTTAAAAGCAAAAAAAAAAAATGTTTTTAAAAGAAAACAAAAGCCTCTGATGATCAGGCAACTCAGCTGGGATCGTCAAAGCCTTTTAAAAGCATTTTTAACAACCTCTTCAGCTGAAGAGGCTGTAGAAAAAATGCTCTTAAAAGTAAAAAAAAAAAAAAAAAGTTGGCCATGCCCACCCAGTCACATTACGCCCCCCCCAACAAGCCACACCCACAGAACCGGTAGTAACAAATTTTACATTTCACCACTGATAATTATCATCAGGGGGAAAAAAAGATACATATCTGTATATTTCCATTCACGAACAATGCAGACATATAAACCTCTGTTCTGGTTTATCAGCTAAATCAGAATCCATGTCAAAGCTTAATACTGTCTCCTTCTGTAAATTTATCGTTTGAGGACTGATCAACACAACACAAAAAGTGACATTTTTTTTGCAGGTAGTCCTCGACTTACGATCATTATTTATTTATTTATTTATTTATTTATTTATTTGTTTGTTTATTTGTTTATTAAATTTATATACCGCCCTACTCCCGAAGGACTCAGGGCGGTGAACAGCCAAAAGATAAAATGCACATAGTACAAACGTTAAAAAACCCGTTCCAGATGGCAGGTGCCCCCACAGAGAAGGCTCTCCCCCTGGGGGCTGCCAGTCGACATTGTTTGACCGACTGCACCCTGAGAAGATCCTCTCTATGGGAGCGTACTGGTCGGTGAGAGGCTATTGGTAGCAGAAGGCAATCTCGTAGGTACCCTGGTCCTAAGCCATGGAGCGCTCTAAAGGTGGTAACCAAAACCTTGAAGCGCACCCAGAAGACCACCGGGAGCCAGTGCAGCTCGCGCAAGAGGGGAGTCACATGGGAGCGCCACGTCGCTCCTGTAACCATTTGCTTAATGACCATTTGAAGTTACAACAGTGCTGGAAAAAAAGGGGATTTATGACCATTTTTCTTACTAATTGAAGCATCCCCGGGTCATATGATCAAAATTTGGGCAACTGGCTCGCATTTATGATGGCTGCAGTGTTCCAGGGTCATGTGATCCCCTTTTGCGAACTTCTGACTGGCAAAATCAATGGGGAAGCCAGATTCATATAAGCACCATGTTCCTAACTTAATGACAGCAGTGATTCACTTAGCAACCATGGCAAGAAAGCTCATAAAATGGGGGCAAAACTTGCTAAACAACTGTTCTCGCTTAACAACAGAAATTTTGGGCTTCCTTGTGGTCCTAAGTCAAGGACTGCCTGTACATCTCAAAAGTTAGCTCTCTAGATTGTTTCCTCTGATTATTCTTAATAAAAATATTTTTCTTCTGTTGCATGTTACAGGCAAGTGTGTTTAGCTACATGCATTGCTTATTTATTTTTTACTTATTTTTAATCAGATTTTTATCTGCCTCAATAAAATCTTGTGGATCAGTGGCTTATAAATGCAATAAATTAAAAATGCAGACATACAGAAAGACTAAAAATCATACAATGTATATATGTTGTTAAACAGAGAGGGGTCATCACCCACTGTTTTGATTCTGGGATACCTCCAAAGCTGATAAATCTGCCAGTGCTACTAACCCAACCTCCGTTTTTCGTCTTTCATAAGAATTTCCTCTTCCTGATCATAAAACAGGTGTCAGGTGTGCTTCCTTCAATATCCAGGAAAGAAAACCCCAAACTCAATATTTTAAAAGAGATTAGTACTTTTACTGAATATGAAATGATCGCAACCCAGGTAAAGCTGGAAGTGAGCAAAACGCACGAAATAGCATCTAGTAAGCTTCCCCCCCCCCCCCCCCGTGTCCATTGACCATCATCCAATCCAAAGGTCTCCCAAAGGTCAGGTGGCATCACGTCTAGCAACGTCATCCATCAGGAATGTAGGGTAGTTGGTCAACCGGCCCCTTTGGAGATTCAGTTTCGTTTCTTGGAAAGACACCTCCTGCATTGGAAAGACACCTCCTGCAATCTTCCCCCCCTTCGCCCCTTAACTGGTCCCTCCCCCCATTTCTTATGGCAGCTGAAGCAGGCAAAGCTGAGGCTGACATTGGGCCCCTCTTGCAGAAGAGACGTTATTCATAGATAAGAGGAAGGAAAAGAGAGAGAAACAGAATATATACAATAATTATGGTTTATCTGGGTATTTGGTATAGAATTGCTGTACTTTCTTGGGAGCTCAGACATCCCGTTTATTTACCCATTCAGCCTGAGACAAAGGGAAATGTTTCCAGGCTATCAGATATTGGACTTTACCATGGTGTTTCCTAGAGTCCAAGATTTCCTTAACTTCAAAATGTTGCTCCCCCTCTATGAGAATGGGAACTGGAGGGGTGCTTTGGTCAGCCCTTAGGGGAGACGAGTGTTCAGGTTTTAATAAACTAACATGAAATACAGGATGTATACGTCTCAACGTTTTTGGCAATTCCAATTCAACTGTTATTGGATTAATCAGTCTAATCACACGAAATGGTCCCACATACTTAGGGCCCAGCTTTTTTGACTTCTGGGTAGTCTGTAAGTATTTAGTAGACAAATAGACTTTATCACCCACTTTATAAATGTGAGCTGGGGACCTTCTCTTATTGGCTTGCTCCTTATGCGCCCGGTGTGCTTCATCTAATGCCTTCTGAGTTACTGCCCATGTGCTCTTTAATTGTTCAATCCAATCCATCAAAGAGGGATTCTGAGGATCATCTTGTGGTAGCTCGGGAATGGGTATGAAATCCTGGCCCGATGCGACCTTAAAAGGAGTGAAACTGGTGCTACTGTGTATGGAATTATTATATGCCACTTCTGCAAATGGCAACAAGTCTACCCAATTGTCTTGCTGGTAATTTACGTAACACCTCAGGTATTGTTCTAGAACCCCATTGGTTCTTTCACAAGCACCATTTGTTTGAGGGTGGTGACTGGAACTCAGCCCCTGGGTGGAGCCTATCAACTTCAAAAACTCCCTCCAGAAACTGGAAGGAATTGCACACCCCTGTCAGAAATTATTCTTTTTGGAGATCCATGTAGTCGGTAAATCTGCCGAATAAATAGTTTTGCAAGGGTTTTTGCCGAATGGATCTTTGAGCAAGGGATGAAATGTACTTGTTTGGAAAACAAATCAGTTACTACCCAAATGACAGTGCAGTCTTCACTCTTTGGTAAGTCCACAATAAAAGTTGTCTATAAAAGTTAGCAAACCCCAAGAAGCTCTGTAACTGTTTACGGGTGCGTGGTGCGGCCCATTCCAACACTGCCCGAACTTTTCAGGGTCCATCTCTATTCCCTCATGTGATATACGATATCCAAGATAGTCGATTTTGTCTTGGTGGAATTCACATTTAGAAAGTTTGGCATAGAGTTCAGCCGCTCTGAGTTTCTTCAAGACCGTCCGCACCAACTTTACATGGTCGGCCATGTTGTCGGAATAGATCATAATGTCATCCAAATAGACCAACACCCCCTTATACAGGTGCTCATGCAATACTTCATTGATCAACTGCATGAATACAGCAGGGGCTCCCTGTAGTCCAAAAGGGAGCACTCTGAACTGGAAGCATCCCAGTGGGCAAT